AACTTCCAAAAGGATTTACACACTTGTTAAGAACGACTGACTTACGATGTTGCATAGAGAATTTCCACGCGGTCAAAAATTTGGGTTTAATTTTTAAACCGCGCTGGGACTACTGCCTGTTTTAATCTTTTATAGTGTACTTTTTAAACCAGTCAATAGTTTTAAGCAATATTTAATATATTCAGGTTTAAATTTTAGTCCAAAAAGTTCTTGGCTTAAAAATCAAATCAAATTTAGTTTGGTCATATATATAGTCCAAACGGTTTATGCACAATTAAAACAGGAATTTTTAACCGTGCAGTCGGGATAATATTCACAGATGAACACACTTCTTAATTGCTCAATCCAGTAAAGCGTGTTTGCTGACAACAAGGAAAAAATTGGTCCATGTAACCTTAATTTGGCAGGTCCTTTTCATATTTGAATATGCTTGAATATGTAGAAAAGATATAAAAAACAGCGCAGACGTTTGGAACGTCTATAGAATGAAGACCTGTTATAACAATCTACTTATGACATATGCATATGTTTTCACACACATATTTTATAAAGATTATTATCTAGACTCCGTATTGGTAACACTATGTAAGAAGAAATATAGCTTTTACTGTACTATATATATTGATTTTACTTCTGTATTTAAGATCCATATAATACCAGCCAAACACGATACCACAATAATCCGATTTAAAATGTTTGTATGCATAAGTTCAACTTTACGAAACTAAGAAGTCTGTTTGCTATCAATTGATCCCAATTCTAGCAAACAACACAGAAAATTCTAACATTTTTCGATTGAATGCTGCAAAATTGCTAAATTAAATTGTTGCCATTTTTATGTTGCTTCACTTGCTATTCATACCACTTGAGCGAATACTTTCGACCCACTCTTCTCTTCCCTGCCAGACACAGTGCGAACAAATAATCGTCAAAACAATCTACACAAATTCAGCAAAAACTCGAAAATTTCAATAAAAACTATTGCAAATGACTTTTTGTGCCAATAAAGCAAACAATGGCAAAACAAAAATCAAATTGAAAATACACACATGCATGCACTTACAAACACATGTTTAAACAAAATTAAGCTTCTTCTTCTAGTTGAAATGTGTTGCTGCCGCTCATGTTGCAAATTTTGCTGCTGTTGCAGTTGAGATTTTAGAATGCAAAATAAAATTTTGCATGAATATTACATGATGAGGCAGTCGATGTGGGCGGAGGAGTCGACAACGGGCGTACTTATATAGCAGAGAGGGTGCAAAGAAAAGCGGTAGCTTAGAGAGATTTTGGGTTTTATGTAGTGTTCCAGCTGAAGATGCTATGCTTAGAAATAAAGCTGGCATTTGAGGGAGCTGTAAGTCTGGCTGCCAGAAGTGAGAGTCCGATTGCTGCAAATACCGAGCTGGTATTTATTGTCAAGCAATTTCTTTGCATCCGCCCAATGCTGACAGCCTCTTCGAGAGCTACTAACCAGATATAGTTGAAGTTTTTATGGTTATTGTTGTCAGTGCTGATGCTTGCGCTTTTGTGCAATAGTATAGGCAAACATTAACAATTTTATGTGTAAGTAAGGCATTCGTTTTTGTTCGAGTTTCTTTTTGCCTTACAGCTTATGCCACACACACACATACACTTAGCATGAAAACACATATACATATATGTACATATGCACATAGCTGCAGCATGTAGGGCAGATGTTTTCATATTTGTTTTTGTTTTTTTCCTTTGGATATTGTGACAAGTGCATGGTAGGCACATATTTTCCTGTCAATTGCATCACCATTTTCTGGACCTCTGCATTTTTGCTGGTTTTGCGGTTGGCTATTGTATGTTGTGCTATTTTCTGAGACATCGTAAGTTATTTATTGCCACAAATTTGATTTCTTGCTGCTGTCTGGCTAATTTTCAATAGATTCCACAGCATGGCTTCAGGGAATAGCATGGCATTGGAAGTCGAAGTGAAGCAATGATTTGGCTGCAACATAAATTGCCGCATACACAAACGCACTTATTTGCATTTGGGAGCTAATTTGGATCTTAGTGCCACACAATTTAATTTGTCATTTGCCAGAATGATTGGATTTGGGAGCCTAAATATCTACTAAACTCACACAGGTATGCATATTAGTGTGGTCCAAGAATTCATGTGAAATAGTAAAGTCGGCTCTCGTCCCCTAGGATTGATCTATACCGAAAAAATATACCCTTATTTTTTTTAAATCAAAAAATATTTAGAGGCATTTCAAAGCGCCTTTTTCTGGAATGTTTCCGATCTCGCACCCTAGGATTGGTCCATACTGAAAAAAATATACCCCTATTTTTGTAAATCAAAAAATATTTAGAGGCCGTTCAAAGCGCTCAAAGTTTTCCATGTATTTTATCTGAAAAAAAAAAACTTTGCGTAAAAAAAATCATTAAATAAGAATTGGGTATTATTATTAAAAATCTCCTGAAGAGGGCCAGAGTTTTACGATAAAATATATTGATTTTCAATAATTCTATACCATTTCTACGAAACTCAAAGCGCTCGAGCGACCTCTAAATTTTTTTTGCTTTCAAAACAAAAAATTAAGGGTATAGTTTTTCGGGGGGTGAGAGCATAAAAATTCCGACTTTAATTTGTTTGGATCACGCTAATGCACATACATACACTTGTGTTCAGCTGATTAAGTTAAATTACCAGTTTTGCTATTTTTCTATTGTATATTTAATGTTCATAGCGTATTACATAGGCAACACTAAATAAATCCACACTTCAAACTTCTTAGAGAAAGTATAAAAAATTAACCAACTTTAACAATTGCACCCAAAAATTTTAAATTGTTATTCAGAATTCAGCAGTTTTATAGCGCATTAAATTCTAACAGGTTAAAGTGCAAATTTAAAGAAGTTAAAAAATCGCACTAATTTTTAATATTTTTTTGCTGACGGTGTTGTGCATTAGCTTCCATGTAAAGTATGCTCGAAAATTACCTTTATACGGAAAAAAATGCCAGCACCGTAGCAAAAAAAAAAGAAATATTAAAAGTTCGGAATAAAAAGCTTAAAATATTTGGCTGTAATTGTTAAAACTTGCTGAATTTTGATATTAAATTTTTTTTTACGAAGTTNGTACTACCAACTGTCAGCTAGCAGCTGCCTCTGACCCCTGATGCAGGTAAATTCAATTTCAAGTTTATTTGCATAACCGCAGACGAGTGTAATACACACACATGCACATACAGCCACACATAAATATATCCACACGTACTACTTGTCGCTTGCCATTAGTTAGCCTGCTACCGATTGTACTCCTGCGCACCGTGCCCGAATACCTGTCTGTCTGTTGCGCTTCAATGGTTAGCCACTTCGCTTGGTGCAACATGGTGTTGCTCTTTCATTTCTTTGCCGTCTGTTTGGTCGTTTAGCATTTTTTCATACAATTCATTCATAGGGTTTGAGTTTTTTCGTTGTCAACATTCCAACCGCCAATTTCCTTATGCAATCAACCACAAACAGCAACACATACTGTTATGCAGCTGTGTCAATGTCTCTGCCAATATGATGGTTTTCATTTTCTAAGCGACAAAAAATGTAGAAAAATACCACCCGCACACGTACATATGTATGTATTATACCTGCACTCATTCACACACACAAATATAAAATAGAACATCGTGAAAAGCGTAAACTTTAACTACACAGCAAAGCGAAAAAACGATGCAAATAAATTGCAAATAGACTCTTTTTAATAGAGCAATCATAAAGCCAAAAAAGGTACAAAGAAGTACTAGCGGGTGAAATCGGAAGTGAAAAGGCCACTACTAAGGGAAACGTAAACCAGCAGCAGACGGAGAGCAGACATGCAAGGTTGGGTGCATTAGATTATTATTTTCTATTCACTATAAATACATATATAAGTATGTATGTGCATTAGAGTGGTAAAAAAAAAGTATTTCCCAGATAGGGTTTGGGACACTTTCCAACATTTTTCCTCTTGCCGAAAGAGGTGCTGGTACCAAACCTTAAGTTTCTAAGTATCCATTTAGAGGATGCTCATATTTTCCTCTAGAAGTATTGTGTACATTAATCAAACAATTGGTTAAGTAACCTAAGAACATTTCAAATTAAAATTATCTCTTAAAATATCATGGCAACAGTAGCCTTTTATAAAAATCACCAATATTTTTGCCAGTTTCACAGCGATCCAGTAGCGCATTTCAAGGTCATTGAGCACCCTGTATTGGTTGCAGTATGAAAGTTGGTATAGATATCACAAATATTAAAAGGAAAAAACTAAGGAAACTAGGATGAATTTTTTTCCCCCATAGAAAAATTGGACCACTCTAATGTACATACATACATATGCATATTAACGAGTGTACGGGGTGATGAAAGTGTTAGTTTGCGCACGGAAGCGCAAAACATGGCTGATGATGATCAAATCAAAGTGCTGATGCGCTCGCTCTGCCAAGCAGGCTAACATCATTAGACCATATTGATTGGTGTTGATTGAAAAATCCAATCAATATGCGCAATTACAGGTATATGAAAATTGAGATTTACAAGCGCTGCCCCAAGTTGGGCGACGAGAAACTTAGAAACAAAATAATGCGTACAACATTTCTTTATAGAACACTAGTAATGTGCAAGTGTTAGCGATTGCAAATGCATCCTGTAGTGGGGCAATTTTCGATAAATTCCAACTTGATAATGAAACGATTCCAAGCGTTAATGTTTATCATACGCCACGTTTAACAATAAGTTTTAAAAGCGGTTCTGCAGCCGTATTGTTACTCATACGCCCCGCACAAAGATACCTACTATTATCGCTGAAATGTGTTGTGATAACACCGTTCGACAGTCAATTTTGCAAACGAAAAAATCAATATATTCTCAAAACTAGGAGGCAAATACAGTATAAATGCGTTTTTAAGTTTGCTCTCTGACATCAGGATTTTTTTAAAGAACTTTGAAATTTCTAGGATATGATTGAATAAAAATTTTTTTTAACGGATTTGGTGCGTTGCAGAGTAACAATATGGGTATCAATTAAGAGGAAAAATTCTGTAGAATTGAAAACAAAAATTGATTGTTTGGTGCACCAGGACAAATAAGTGTTGAAAATGTCCTTTTAAAACCTTATCCTTGAATATCCTTGGAAGTTTATAAAGTTTTTTTTTTTTTAATATATCAAGGACTAATATGTAAACCACCACATCCTCGAATTTTTACACTTCTCTTTATAAGATATTGATAGTTACAACATACATAAATAAAGATAGAAAAATTATAATAATAAGAGCATATTCAGGTTAAAAACTGCAAATTCCTTTTGGTTTTATTGGATTAAATTTTGAACCCATTTCAAGTGGTACCCATTTTTTAAACAGGTGATAGCCCTTTTTAATATTCTTAATGTTCAAGCTAAATATTTCCTAATACTCCTTCGTTTGCGCCCATAATTTATATTTCATACAGTAACTTCTGTATACTTCAAATGAATTCGGCTTTTTAAACAGATAGCAAAATTATTCCATATATAATTAACTAATTCCCTTAATTCTAGTTGCATCATGTGAAACAGGTGGCAACCTTCTTCAAATTATTATTTGATTCAAGTTATATTAAAATTTTAAAACAGGTGGCAACCCTCCTACATGTATTTTTGAAATAAAATATCTTCAAAGCAGTTCCGATTGATGCGAAATCAAGTTTGACGCAACAATATTGTGGTCTGCTTAGCTGGAGTTGGACAGATGAAGGTTTTTTTTTGCTTGAAGCACGGCCGAGGGCCGCTTACACGGAAAGGAGTTCTGCTCAAAAACACTGTGGCGCCTGATCTAGTTTAGCCTAGGCAATACTAGTCTGTCCTAAGATCGGGTTTGGCCGGTGACATATGTATATATATGCAGCTAAATTAATTGTGCATGAATTTTTCGGCTTGTTTAAACCAACCTATTTTATAGGTTCTGCTGAAGTTTTCCATTTTCACTTCGACCATTCCTATTTCATTACAAAATCCAACGATAAACCTCTTATCAAATAATGCAACGAATTTCTACCTCCATTGAAGTAGTTATGCGAGCAAAAAGAGAATTATTTAAACGTTAAATCAAAAAGCAGCATTCTCGTCTATCCAATGAAATAATCAGATGCAACGGGGGCACATAATACAGGGATACAAGAAACATTCAAGTTTGTTGCTGCAAATCAGTTTTAAAACACATTGGCTTATAGTGGTATTAGACAGGTTTACCTGAACTGATACCACTGTACGCGCCCACCAAGATGTGGATATGCATCCGAGTATGACCACGTGAGAAATTTGAAACTATATTGCGACGCAATACAAAAAAAAAAACTTTTTGACACTCTATCAACGTATGAGTTTCGTTCTTGAAATAACTTCAATAAGGCTTTAAAGATACGACAAATAAAAATATGTCGCTAAAATTTTCTTAATTTTTATTTGAATTGAGCCTTTTTCAAGAATATCTACCGTTCGAATGAATCTGATCTAGCTCTGATAAATCGACTGTTTTCTAAATGCTTCCAATTTAAATACTCTCTGCATTAAAGTCATATACTTTTGAGTGAGTCTATTTAAAAAATCGTTCGTGAAGCTGCTTAAAGATTACTGTGACCGAGGACGATTTACTACAACAAGTACTAATTGGGTTGCAGGTCTTCTCGGATCCTGGTATTGTTAACGAAGGCTTGGTCATATGATTATAGCTACGGTGATCTTTGCGAAGTCTGGATCAGGTAAAGGCTTCACAGTGGCACACAATGTGCTCTGCTCTTTCCTGTACCTCATTACTCAACTTTCACTGGTCGGAGTAAACAACTGCTCGGTTTTACAAGTGCTCCATTAATGTCTGTTACCTTCCTTATTTGCCAAGTTATATTGCGCTTCTTTTCTCCCGACTAATTTTAAGTAATGCACATAAAAATGTTACATGGGTTTAATATTGCTGTGTGAGCTTTTGCTAATTTCCTTAATTTTAGACATGAAGCTACTTAAAAAGCAAATAGCGTTCGTAAAAAAAACTCTAATTTTTCCAATTAGAGTTTCAAGAAAAGTCGTGAACTATCTTTACCTTCAAATTCTATGCATTTGATGCTTTTCTTGACTCATAAATATCTTCGTTTTTCTCCTCAACCTCGCTATCCTAAATCATTTTTCAGCAAGGTTGCTACCTGAATTTGATACTTTTGTATGTCAGACATTGAAATTTTGCGTTCGCCACTTTATATACTCCCCATGGATAAGAAGCATTTGAAAAAGGATATAAACGTTTATCAGCTTTCGAAAATCTAGATAGTCAGCTTATGCTTGCTACTGACACGTACGTAAATAGCGAAAGAAATTTTCTAAACATAAGATAATATTTTTGTTGGTTGGTTGTTGGCTATGTGTATTTTGCAGCCATTTTCGTTGTTGTACTTTGCATACCGCAGATTGCGCAGCTTAGCTGTCACTTTCATGTCAAAAGCTGATTGTTCGTCCTCTTTTTTGTGCTATAGTTATGCCACAGACAATGCGCAAGCGGAATCAAAATGATTGAGTGACTGCTCGACTGGATGCGGCAGGTAAAGAAAGCGGAAAAAGGAGAAGAGGTGAAATAAACGAAACGGGTAGGTTTTGTGCGGATAACGGGTAGTAAGAGTAGAAGAAAGTACGCAAGATGTTGTGAAAGAATAAGAAGGTTATGCTATTATGCGGCGATCAAAAAAATCTCTAAAGCGCCCCATCAAGGCTATCCCTTTCAATGGATTTGTTGAATATAACGACATTCCATATGGCTGCTGCTAATATGCGACTGATTAACTCCCTTTCATCTTTCTTATTTTGTATTTATCAAATTTTCCTTGGAAAGCTTTCTATTTAGTAGCATTAAAGAAATTAGTTGTAACAAAATTAGTTTTAAAAGTTTTTTTATTTAAGTTTTAGTGTTGTATTGAAAAAATTTTATTGAGCTTGAGTCCGTTTTTAACGAAAAATTATTGTGGAAAAGCAAAAACAATTTGAAAAAATGGTAGAAGTGATAGCTATTTCGGAAATCACCACATTTCCTCATCAGAATTTTTCAGCGGAGCAAGCTTTAACTTATCAACGACAAGCTTTCCGGAAAAAAATATTTTTCTCATCTTCAGGGGGTTGATTTTTCAACAAACAAACTAGATTTTTACATTTTTACCTTACCGTAAATTTTTTTCGACACCGAAAGGGCTAAGAGAACGTATCCGGCCAAAACCCCAAAATATTAGTAGTTTTTTTTTTTTTAATGATAGAGAAGTTTTTAACTCGCATGATTTTAATACGTCCTTTTAAAAACTTTGACTAAAAGAGTTTTTCAGGCGGCGCTTTAAGTAGTATAGTCTTTACTTTGAAATATTCGACCATTGCAATTTCGAAGCTTCAAATTGATTTCATAAGATATACATGATTAAATATTCAAAGCATATTCTTATGCAGGTGGACTCAAACAAATTAATTGATGGATTTTTATCTAGCTTGGGATAATTTTTGATGGATGTAGTTGTGTGACCATAGAAAATTTGGAAAATTGTCGAAACAGAATATAAAATACAACACATTATACATACATACATTCATAAGTTCACTTTATTTTCATTTTCAGTGTTTTCTTTAAAAACGTTAATTTTGTATGTTTTTTGCAAACTGTTGTTATTGTTATTGTGAAGTTGACATTTTTGACATTTATATTGCCTTGCAAGTTGACACACACAAAATATGGTATCCTAGTGAAACTATGATAGGAGCATAAAACAAACAGGCATACTCATTGGTGGTATTTTACGCTAGTTTTTTTCCTGCTCCCTTCTGTGCATTTTGCTTGTTGGCGCTTTGGCACTAAAAATGTGTTAAAATTTCAACATTAACAACAACGAAAAAGTGGAAAAATATCTGTATGTGTGCGATATTTGTGGCAGGCTGGCATATGTTGCCCAATACCTTAACTGTGTGTGCATATGTATGTATCAGCGCCAGTGGTTGTGGTAGCTGTTATAACTTATTTAGAGTTGGCAACATGAAACGTGTCAAAAATAGTTATTACAACTTTTTTCAATACTTATTTAGTGGAACCGATGCCACAGCCTTCACTTCTCGCTCTTCATATTTCCCATTCATTTTTTATCCATCCATTTGTTAGCGATCGTGTTGTCTTGGGATGGCAGTGCAAACTTTCCGCAAAAAGTGCACAATTCAACCGCAAAAAAAGTTAAGCTAAGTTTAGAACTAACAACAAATACAAAAAGTGTATTTGCTTAAAATTTTAAAATACTAAAGTTTATTCCATCAAAGGCTGAAGAAAAGAGGAGAAAAGAAAAAGTAATTTATGTGCGACCATGTCCGTGACACTCCGGTTGTGGAACCATGTCTCAAGGGATACATTTCATGGTGGTGTATGAACATAATGTGAACATTATCGGCAAAGTAGAACGAAATATGTGGAAAACTTAAACAAATGCCTAGAAAGTATAGTACTCTCCAAGTTCGAAGAACTGCTTACGGATATTGAACTTGATGCGATTAGGGCTTTGACCAGAAAATTTTAAAACTCGTATTTGTTGAATCCACGGCGGTCAAAATGACTTAAGCATTTAGTCGACGGCATATGTTTTATATTTAAAGTAACGAGTATACTTCTCTGGTGCCAAGTGATAACATACAATATGTATGTATGTATTTGCTAGTAAGTTAGTGAGGAATTGTAATGGAATTTTGGTAATGAGAACTTCATTTCAGACATTTAAAATCCACTTTGGTGTGCCGGTAAGTGAAATGCTGATTAAGGGCCGGTTGTTCAATGTCTGGTTAACACAAATCGGAGGTAGAAGCTGCGGTTAAATGTAACGACTGTTTTATCGCTCACATGTTATATGCACCAGACATTGAACAACCGGCCCTAAGAGTAATATATATTTGAAAGATCCACAGCTGATAATACCCTAATTGTTACCCTAAATTTGACCAGTTTTATCGTTGCATTAAGGCAAGCTTAAAATTTTTTCCTAGTACCTATTACAGTTTTTTCAAAGTTTTAGTTTGCACGAATGTGTGCATATCTGTGCCGTTCAATAAAAGTAGGCTCCTTTCCTTGTAAAGCAAAATTTCATTGGGTTCCCAAAAAA